TGTCGGGCGAGCGCTCCTTCAACTGGACTTGATAAACTCCGAGTTACTGGGTTGGCGAGTGCTCACGATGCTCTGCATGAGAGGTTTCGAGCCTCTGGATGAAGCGGCGGGTAGATGGTTGCTACCGCAAGTTGGACGAGTGATTTCACCAGTGTTGATTGAGGTTGAGACCGAGGAGAGTCGGAATGTGGATGGTGTAATGGCGCAATACACGGCATCGACAAGAGAGCTTCTGGCCCGGAAAGAAGCTGCTGATGGTTTGAAGACTGAAGTGAGGATCACCTTACCCTCGGATTGGCCGATGGCTAAGGCAAAAGTTCAGGTGAGATCTCTCGAACTAACTTGTTGGTAATGAGGCCTCTCGTAACTGTGCCATGAGTGCTATTGTTATGTTGGGCGATGGCTATCTTATGTCGGTCTCTTAAATGTATTCCCCCAATTCTAGAACAGTTCTGCCTCCCACCGCGTTCTTGATCGAGGTGACTTCGTATGGAATACTGTGTGTGTATTTGATCAAGCCAGGGGTGAATCGAATAAAGTGGTGATGTTTGTAGATCTAGTTTTGATTAGGTATCCCCGATACCAGGAGTACCATCCTCGCGCAACCAAAAGCTAGCATTAGCAGTTCTTCGTGAGATGACCAGAGCGGGCATGGCCCCGGCTTTGAGGATCTGGTCGGCCAATGTCGAGAGAATATTCGATGGTGTTGAACCCTGCGTAATCTGTTATAGTATCGTGAGTATTGACAGCAATAGTCTACCGAACAAGCAGTGCAGAACATGCAAGAATAAGTTTCATAGTGATTGTATCTATCGGTGGTTCAGAACAAGCCAGAAGACGACCTGTCCGCTCTGTCAGAGTCTATTTTAGCGGTGTTGTGTGGGTTTCTCTCTGCTTTAAACATGATTGTGTTCTAAGTTTGAAGAAAATCATGGACATGGAGAATATGTTCTTCGGTCGCAGTGCATGAAGTCCGTTGAAGTTGAGTCTTTGCTTTAGACGAACTATCTGGAGTGCCTCGGGTCGAGCCGTCGCCTCGTCGTACAACTCAATGCGAGATACGGGTTTGGAACCGTTAACCAGAATTCAATCATTCAATCATCTACCTTGTAGTATAACAAAATATTTTTTCGCAGTCGTGGCTTTGATTTTCGTAAACATCGATAGAGCATCGGATGTTCTTGTCTCATTGATGACTCGATGGTCAACCCGGGTGCTGATGTCAACGGTTTTTCACACAGACCCGGGATTCAATATTTGTCCGTCTGGTATCGATACAGT